GTCTATCCTCCGTGAGCTCTGCTGTCCAATAGGAGCGCCGGTCGTCACATGTGTCAATATGTCCATATAAAAAAGTTCACTTGCAAAAAGGACAGTCTGAATACGAACCGGAGCAAAAGAAAGAAGTTTGGTCCGCTTTTGATTCGGATCAAGCAAGCGGAACAAAGGACTTTTCAGGTCTGAATACACCCTAACATTTCAATACTAACTAGAATTCAGATAATCAGCAAGTCCTATTTTAAAAAAAATGCTACGGCACCGTTGTCATTCAAAGTAACAAGAAACAACCAAAGCAATTCAAATAAATTAAAAATACATTTACCTGAGTTAGGTAATTCTAAAAAATCAAAACGTTGATTGATAATGTAGATGTAGATTTAAATTACTCAATACTTTTCGCTCACTCACACACACAACAAACAAAACATAATAATAATTGATTCCATCTATAAATTGTGAATACATATACTGTATATATAGGAACAATAATTACCCCCAAGCTCAGTAAATCCCCAATAGGGAAGTTTTGCTCTAACTCAAACTGGCTCCTATTGACTTATCTTGAAAAGTAAACTGCTCTTGCACTTTAACTGTTTGGGCCACACTTACCATTTTGGGCTTAACCAATCTGTCTTTTAATGTTTTCTCTGAGCCTGTTTTTTTTTTTTTTATTGTCTTCACAGGAAGGGGCTCCAGCTTGCCTTAGCAATCATGTAGCAAAACATTGGTTTGCATCTTGCCACAAACACAATGACATCAGCACTTAATCTACTCCTCATATGAGAAATTGTAAATTTCTCCATTGTGAGATCAATAAAGCGTATCTTATCTTTTCTTATACGCTCTATGATTCTAGCACAGTGAGTTGTTATACCATATGAAAATGTCTGGAACCTGAGTCTATTCCATTGAACCTATTTGTCAAAAGACACGAACTGTATAGTACTTTTCAATTCAATACCTTAAATTACCCCTTCAGTCATTGGTGTCTTTGCACTTGTCAACCAATAGAACTCATTTATTAAAGCATGCAGCGTATTCGTCTTTCTGCAGGATTGTTGGTGCTCGGCCACTGAGCAGATTCCCTCAAGCCTCCAGAGCTGCAGGGATTTATCTTCATTAAGAAACAGGATTAAAAGGCATGGAGCTCCAGGGCCTTCTTTCAGACCTGGTCTTCTCTACAGCACGGCCATTATACCCATTGTCCTCTTTATTAGGGGCGCATGAGATTGATGGTTATTACTTACTATCTAAAAGGCCATTTCAGACTACAGTTAAAATTCTGCTATTATCCCAACATCTGCTCATCATTCAGCTGTGATGTATGCTTTCTTCTTTTGTAAATGTCAAACTATGATATGATTATTTTTATTTGCTCACAGCTTGAACTTTGCTCAAGAATATTTTTCACACAGAATAGCAAATGAATCTGCGATATACTGACACTAATCCTACTTTATGTTCAGGGGCCTCATTTATAACGACAAAACAGAGCCTGAAAGTGCATACTGGTCTATAAAAATAAAATAAAAAACAGTTAATGTGACGTAATATGTGACTTCAAGGGACAGTTTAGACCATGTACAGACTTTAGGATGAGAGCTGTGTGGAAAGAAGAGAAGGACAAGTGAGAGCCTTGGACCTGCGTCTGATCCATGTGCATGTAGACAAGCTATACACGGCTGTGATCCTCGCAGACCTTCCCGTGTCTTTGAGTGTTTCTGTCGTGATACAACTAATGCCGAGTGCACACTGGTTGGTCTGGTTCAATTTAACTGGACCGCACTTGGATTCTCGTTCACTTGGATCTGAAGTGCTTTTTTTTTAGGATATAAAACCACCAAACAAGTTGAAAGCCACAATTTGTAGAATTTGACATAATTAATGCGGCCCTAAAACACTTTTGAGTCACATGACGATGATCAAATACGATAAGATGGACTTTATTGATCTCACACTGGATACATTTATATATCACTTTGGCATAGGTAGAATCACTCAGATTGTGCCAAAGTCAGAAGTGTGCAAACAAGTTAAAGGCAAAAATACAGTCTGTTCAGGATATATTATGTACAATAAAAAAGCAATTAAGAAAAAAAAAGTCTCACTTTGTGAACTGCGAATAGAGGCCAATAAGAATATGGTAAGGCCGTGTCTGCCATCTGATTTCAATTAACTAATTAACTAATATTTTTTTACAGATGTGTCGCGAGTGGGCACAGCCGTAATATCAAGAGTGTCCTATAGCCTACAGCCTCACTTCAGCCCTCTTGAACTGCTGAGAAAAGGGCATCACATGATCAAAGTATTGAGAAAACCATTCAATGATCCATGAATATTTATGAGAAACCTGGATCAGTCCAAACAGCGTGTCCTCAAATTTAAGCCAGCGAACAAGAGCGAGAAAAGTTTTCAGCAGGTACATTTGAACAGCTTATCCAACACTTTTCACTTAGGGACTTTTATGCAGAGGATTACAGTGATTCAGACTGGATTATGGAGAAGATTTGCAAAAATCTTTGTCCTCTAATAATGGCACAAATAGTCAATGATTATGATCCGAGTGCAGATGGAAAGTGATCCGTCTTTTTCTGACAAATCCTTGGTCATTTTAGCCTCTGTTTGAAAATATGTCATCTCTGCATATTATTATCATTATTTTTGTTCTGGTATAGTCTGCAATATGCCAATGTATGAGTCATTTTGACAGATTTAGGCTTGTTCTATTATTTGATTATTGCCTTTCGGTGCTCCAAGTATTTAACTTATAACATGTTTTTTTAGGTTTTTCTTACTGCCAGCTGTAATGCTATTAATGTAGCAATACATGTTGTCTTTGTTGATTGTAAAGAATTAGAAAAGAGAAAAAACAGCATATTTGGATCTGTCCACAGCACACTTTCACAATGCCAACAGACAACGCTATTTTTGAGTTTTGTAGATTATGTTTCTTTCATTTGGTGCCCTTTGTACTGTTAATGAAAATGCAACCATCCATCTTTTACCGCTTCATTCGTTGCCGGGTTACGAGGGTAGCAGTCTAACCAGAGAATCCCAGACTTCCCTATTTTTACACTCTCCTTCCAGCTCATCCAGGGCTGCCACTCTTTGGTCAGCAGAGAGTCATAGTCCAACGTGTCCTAGGTCTTCCTGGTGGGACATGCCCAGAACACCTCCCCAGGGAGCCGTCCAGGAGGTGTCCGGAACAGATGCCCGACCCACCTCAACTGACTCCTCCCGATGTGGAGAAGCCACAGATCTATTCCGAGCTCATGCCACCAACATCCCACCAGGGATCTAATTTTGATTTAAACAAATGAAATGTACACCACTATGGATTCACCATTGCAGTTGGTTCTGTTGGATATGAGGGGAACCAATTTGTTTTGACACTACTCTGAAAGTATAGCCTTATTAAAAAGTGTCCTTTGAATGCTGACAGAATAAGATTTGGCAAGCACTTTTAAGACCACTGTCCGATATGTAGAGGCTCCGGGTGAAATGAGGTCTACAGACCCTTTTAAATTCACCATGCTGCAAATTTCAATTAAAGACTCAACCATTGCTCAGTAAAACTTCACAATTTTAAGTCTCACATTCATTTCTAGAAGTTTATCTCTGACGCCCGTTGCTGTTTTGCACTTTAAGGACTAAAATGGTTTCTTTCCACTCATCAAACCTAAAGACAGCTCGTGTGAATCGTGTAAAACGAAAATTAAATCCTGTCGTATTGCCTCATCTCCCAGAGCAGAGCAACAATGTGTCTAAATGGGTTTCATTTCGAGGTGGCATCGGTTTGTCTGACATTTCATCATTGTGTCCTTCTCAGAGACGCAGTAAATAATAAAAAATGCACTGTGCAAAAATGTTTTTCTCCGACACATGGCGCTAAGTATTTCATTTTCAAACCTGTAATCAGTGTGCTTACTATCAGCTCACAAAAAAGTTTCTATAGCTTCTATAGACACCATACCACAACAACAAGAGGGAACATGCTAACTTAATTTGCAGAAAATGACCTACTTCACTTGTGCGTATGAGCAACTTTAAATAGGACAATCTGAATGCATGAATTATTTACATTGTTTTGGAAAACATTAAAATGTTCTTTGAGACTTTAAACTAATGGATATAAATTCATGCAATACAAATACTATACAAAAGATTACAGTATTTTTCTCTAAAATATAATGAAACATTGTTCAAAAACAAGCATTATGATCGCCATCGTGACTCTGCTTACACCTTATCAGTTTGCAGAAATCACTCATTTCTGTAACATCTGCTCCAAATCCAAATTGTACTTCAGTCTCACATTTAATATCCCACATATCCCCCTCTTGTTAACAGCTTGTACCATTGTTCTTTTCCGTCATAGCCAGGAGCTTTAATTTAGGCTGATGACAATTTTTAAATAAAACATCTTGCTCTGCTCCCCTCTGCACACTGTGCAGTGCCTGTGGGAGCTCTTACTGTTGGCATGCTGAGTCACAGATGTTCTTTGGTCTGTTTACCTGTCCCATCTGCGAGCAGTGCCTATTCACTCATAACCCAAAACTAAATATTACATAAAAAAAAAAAAAATAGAATACAGTATGTAATTGTGTGCTGACCTCAAACACTTACAGACAAAGAACGAATTGGAAAAAGTTTTTTCAGGAAGAATACATAAAGACAATTCAGTATTGTTATATCATATGCACATGTGATACTTCCACAGAGCCTATCAGTCTTATTGAACATGTTTTAGCAAAGAACCTAGAGGCAAACACAAACACAGGGAGAACATACAAATTCCACACAGAAAGTCTGCCCTGGGAATCGTACCTAAAATCACTCCCTGCTACACCCCATGTTTGTTAAACTAAAATAGATAATACTGGTAAAACTACAAGGAGGCTATCATTGGTTTTTTGGTGTCCTTGCTTTTAATTGTGTTTTGCCAGCATGAATCACTGAAGTGTCCATTCTGTCCTCAGTGCCCTCCAGGGTTGAGTCCAATGAAGGATGGGACCGGCTGCTACGACCACCACATCGGCATCGACTGCTCAGACGGTTTTAACGGAGGCTGTGAGCAGCTGTGTCTGCAGCAGCTGGCCCCCCTGGAGGACGACCCCACTCTCTACAATATCCTCATGTTCTGTGGGTAAGAACCTCCCCTTAATAAGCACATGTAAAGAGTTTAAATGCAACCTATGTGATTCTTAAAATTAAAGAAAGTGAAGAAGCATAAAGAACTGTTTATATGATGTGCCATTTTTTTATCTTGTAAAATATGTATTACCTGGAACCACATCAACTAACACAATTATAAAATGCATGTGTGAATAAAATGTATGAAAATATTCACCATATGTGTTTTAATGTTTTGCTGGCCATTTTGTAGCTGCCTTCTTTCTTATACATTTACAGTTGAAATATTTTGACATTCTCTGTTGAACTTACAACTGCAGGGATCAACATAGTTCTTATAAAGGCTCAAATTCCTTTGAGTCTCAACTCTCTTCAGTACTTGTCTGATTAAGGTGTTTATTTGAGAGGGGACCATGGGCTTTTCCTGTGGCCATAGAACACCACAGCATTTGCAACATTGAAGAGTCTTACACATAACAAAATACATTAATCACAACCAACTTGCCATAGGCTAAAAATATGAAAGGTGTCCTTTTGGGTGAATATGGAATATTGTTTCAAATAGAATATTTGATTCTTGTTTACTTGCCACAGCATGGGGGTCCTATTATTATGAATACTATTTGCACCAAACATAATGTAAGTGGAAGGTATATTTCAAAAGAGTATTTCTCTAACATAATTAATCTGACATCTTTGTATTCTTTATGGTGTCCCAGAGTAGTGTAGCCAGGAGCTTGTGAAGGCACTCCATTTCCTGTACATTTTAAATAAACAAATACTGTAGGTAAACAAAATAAAAATGATAGTAAAATAAAATCATCTTGATACAGTACAAGCATGTGCCTTGCACTCCTTGTTTCCACGTTAATTTTATTGATGTCAAATCTTTCTGCTGTTAACATTTTTGGTTTTTCACAAATATATATTATTATTTTAAATAATTATTGACTGTGAAGCTTAATTGTTGGAGCATTACAAGAAATGAAAAAAAAAAACACAAAAAACATTTACTCATTTGAATACAATACACTTGAAATGTTATTCAGAAAGATTTAGACAAATCAGCTGATTTTGCTCCATTTGTGTGAAAGTCAGTGAAATGGTTTTCGCCTGAATTAGCCATTACTCTCAGTTAGATTTACATAAACAGTGTGTGTAGAGTAGTGTTTTTATGCCCATCAGCCTTTCCTGTCTCGTACCACAGCTCTCATGTGGCTAATCCCAGCTCTACTTTTTTTTCATAAAGTCTTTAGATGGGTGACATTTGGCACTAGGACTCAGGCTCCCAACAGAAAATCCTCTGTATTATCTATCTCTGTCTTCTTTGAACCACTATTTGGCCTCATCCAAAAAAAAAAAAATCATCATTCACATGTCAAACAGACATCAGGAAAAGTCTATGGCTTCAAATGTTTCAAATGTTTCAAACTCCTTCAAAGTGAAGGAGTTCACGTACTCTATATACACATAAGCTCGTCAACAGAGAGACTCGTGGAAGCATATACTTTAATATTTTAATCTTGATGTAACTAGTTCAGGGGTGGCCAACCAGTCAGAGACTAAGAGCCAATTTTTTTTACTGTGTTACAGCAAAGAGCCACATCATACAAATGTGCACTACATAAACATCACCCCAACCCTTACACACGCACGCACGTACGCACACGAGCAGACACGCGCACACACATGCAATCTGTCTGAGCAGAGAGAGGTGTGCTCTGCTCAGACAGATTTATCGTAAATGTCATCAACATGATAATGACAGAAATTGACTCGTACAGTACTAAAGGGCTGGACTCGACTCTCCCTGGTTTGCAGGCGCTTCCACCGCTCGCTTCAGCCGCTCCCCGGTACTTTTTTAGTAATGGTTTGGCCCTGGTTCTAACCGGGCGAGTCGATACCAGAACAATTTCACGTCAGCGAACATCAATTATGATTCCGAAATGAATGCTTTCAATCTCTAACCAAGAAAAAAAAATCAAGTTTCAACCCAGTGTTCAGCAGAAACACAACTGTCTTTAGTAAAAGATATAGATTTGACACATAACACCAACACCACTTTAGCTGATTTAGAACCACAGACACATGCTCAGTATAAGACCAGATACTTTTGCATTTGATTGAAGACAGACACTCACCAGGCAGAGTTGGCTTATCTCCTGGTGTAATGCTAGTTGTTGTTAGCTGGTTTTAGCATGTTAGCCGGTGTTAGCCGATGTCCGTAAATGTAATCCATTTGGTCAAACCACCTCCAGACTTTTCGGGTCTGCCTCTACTTCTGCTGCTGCGATCTTTCATTTCACGGTTGTCACTTTTAAGCTTTTTAACTTTTCTCTGCATTGTCATGTTTGTGGGAATCATTCTGCTCCGTCCTTAGTGCTAGCTCCACAAACACCTTCTGGTTTCTGGTGGAACCAGCGAGATCAGGCTGGTGTCCTCTCCTCAAACTGAGGAAGGTGTTGCCCTCATCCAGCGACCAAGGAATTGTTTTCCGTACGGACGTCATGGTTCGAGGCAACGTGTTGTTTGTTATGATATTTGCTACAGCTGAGGCAGCAGCTGCAGAGTGATTGACAGCGCATCTGACCAACCAGAATTGACGTTCGCCGACGTCAGATTGTTTTGGTGGCCTGGCTAGTGGAGTGAAGTCGGCCTTTACTATTGGTCAGAACTACATATGGAATGAAAGGCAGCGCCACCACCGAGGCGTTTTTGACGCTTGTCGAGTGAAAGCCCGAGAGCCGCACGGAACCAGCCAAAGAGCCGCATGCGGCTCACGAGCCGCGGGTTGGCCACCCCTGAACTAGTTCATATTACCACAAGTACCACCAATGTGAAATCAGTCATGAGGTTTAGCAGTCCTCCTTTAAATATATTACAAATTATAATCCAAATTTTGCTTTTAATAATTTTTATAATTTGGAAATGTATCAATAATGTATTTAGAGTTGGCAAACGGTAAAAAAAAAAGGAATAACCGTAATATTTGGACTATAAACCGCTGCATTTTTCCTGCTTTTTTCCTCACTTATAATATCTATAATGTTGGTTGGAATATGAAAAGAGACCAGTAGTTTTGGCTACTTGTCTGTCTGCTTCACACTCGGTTAAGAACAGTCAGTGACTCATTTCTTACTCTTATTACTCACAATAAAAAGAAGACATGATGAACATTTTTGATTGGGATAGGTTTATAATCCGGTGCGGCTTGTACAAATACAAAATTCTATTTCTTTCTAAAAATAAGATCCTGCGGCCTAATATCAGGTGCAATTTATTGTCTGTTATATACGGTAATCCCTTGTGTGGTTGTAGGTGTATTGAGGACTACAAACTGGGCCCAGACCGACGCTCCTGTCTGCCTCTGTCAGAGTCCTGCACAGAGGGGGTGGACTGTGTCGAAGCAGCAGACGTGCCAGCAAACCAGACCGTTTTTGGAGACCTCTTCTATGGATATAATAACCACACCAAAGAGAGCACCTCTGGCCAGATACTCAAGGCCACCTTCAGGTAAGGAGACAAGGATGTGTGACACTGATTATGACTTTTCTTAAATACATGAAGATTCTTCATGTATGCAAGACATGAAAAATACAGAGAGCTACATGTCAAAACCAGATCAAACCCAGACCTCTGAAGGTAAGCAAGACCGTGTCTAGTTGGAAGACCACTGAGAAGACTGTTTTTTTTCTTGTGTCCCTCACCAAGTATGAATCGTGGAGGATTGGATAGTGTTGGCATTGGCATTGAGCCGATTGGCATTCTTGATTCTGTAAGTGTATTCTAGGGTACCACCAACCTGTAGTAATCCATTCTTTACTGTAATAAAACTAGAGCTAGCAGTGAACAAAAAACACAAGGCAATTATGAAAGTACATTGTAACGACACAAACACAAAAGCATATTGCATTTATGTGGGTAAGTAGCTTGTTTTAAAACTGCCAAATTGTCTCTACTTGGAATTGTCCATTAGTGTCTTTCTCTTTATTTCAGTAAGATTGAAACAACACCAATACTTTTTTTTTACATCTAAATTAGTGCTGAAGAGGCAGTTTAGGACATGTGAATGAGCTACTTTGCCCTAAACCATAATCTACTTTGCTTACTTCCTCATTCTCCCTCTAGTAACCAAAGTTCTAAATGCTGTATTCACTTGTCTTTGACTCTGTCCTGGTAGATATGAAACTTATTTCCATGTGTTAGATTAGGTCATGACTCCTGCAGCAGAACTGCTTTGATGCTGCACTGAATGTAGAAAAAAAATGACAGCTTTTATTAATGTGGAATATAAAGAGAAAGTGCATAGAAAAGCCTCTTATCTGCTTCCATTATAAAGAAAAAGCTCCAGTATAGGGGTAACCTTTCATACAGGTCCCTGGTATTATTATTGTTATTATCTCTAAAAGAGTGTGGAAACAAACGCATGCAGGACAAATGACTAAAACATGAGACGACGCTCAGCAGGATAGAAAAAAAACAACCAATTGAAAGATAAATGTTTTTTTGGGTATATCCTTGATTATATAAAGATGAAAAATAATATTTATAATTTCCATGATGTGTCTTTTATGATAGTTTTAGCTTAAAAATATGCACACACAAAAAATAGAAATAGTAATATTTAAGTAAGTAAGTAACTAAGTCATCTTTATTTATATACCGTCTTTCACAGACCAGAGTCTGTGAAAGGTTTACAATTGTTTTTGTGGGCATTTGTCTCTCACTCCACACAGAGATGGGAGCGGGGTCGACAGTACAGGAGGCGCATGCAAGACCTTTATTAACAAAACTTATGCTTACTGTAAAGAGACTGTTCCAACGTCTCTCTAGGCTGAAGGCCCAACAAATGCGCAAGAAAAACACTCATATACACTGCAAAGTCAGTGTGTTAGTTAGCTGGTGCATTTTTTTCCTGTTTAAATTTTAAAAAAGAGATCTCTACAACTCCCTTTTATAGTGAGTGTCTTTTGATGTTGATGGTGTTTAATTATGACAGTCCACGTAGCCGAGCCATTTTCATGGGAATTGGAGAATCAGGAGGTTAGATCTACAGCTTGTGAATTTAATTTTGTCTGCTCTATAGAGGCTACTACCTCACCAAGTTAATATCATAAAAAATCTCCACTGCTCTCATCTCATTTGAACACGCTTGTTAATATTGAGAGTTGTAGACTTTGAAGAGACAGCCGTATGCTCAGGAAGTGAGGGCGAAGGAGGAGGGAGAGACTGTTGGGACACATGTTTAAGGGTCTAATTAGACAAGATGACTGCAAGTGAATTAAAACTGACCTGGATCCAGCAAACTGCAATTGAGCATAATTGAACCAAATGAACTTTGGTATGTGAAATGAACACCCGCTACAACATGTTGCACCTGTTTACTCATGTTTGTGCTTCTCACATGGACTTTAGGCTGGGCCAAAAATCAAAAGATCAATAGATTGCAATCTCAACATTGGTAGATATTGATAGATGGACACCACTTGTGCTGTTACATAATAACTGAAGCAGAGTTGAACTGAATGAGACAGGCAGCTGGTGTTTTCCTTAACATCAGTAGATCAGTTTATTTAAATAGTAATACAAAAACAATCTTGATAGCGTTTTTTTTTTCTTTTCTTGATCACACACCTTGATTCTTGGATTTATGATCACCATCTCTCAAGCAGTACTTCTCAATGTTTTGTGTAATAATTTGCTTTGAATGTTCATGAATTAACAAAATGTTGCTATGATACAATGGATTCCTCGCCAATTGCATATGAAGACAGGTGTGTATTTTACAAAGGGTCAGAGCAATACCTTTGTATATCCCCCAATATATTATTGTATTGCCATTATTATTGATAGCGCCATTTACATAATCAACTCCTGGTTGCTAAACTAGTCCTGCGTATTTCCCCAGCATTTGTCCATTTCCCCAGCTTTTGTCCATGTCTGCTCTGTCTGCGCTGTTCACATACTGTATACATACTGTGAAGCAGGGATGTGTCCTCTTTATTCAGACAGAAATCTAGTTCTGGCAGAGATTACACAACTTGTTGATAACAGAGTCACATAGTCTGCTGTGGGAGCCAGGAATGACATCTCCTTCTTTTCACTATTGCCATGGTAATGGAAGTCAAAAAGCCTGGATCCCAGCAATGTTAGGTACTGTCTTGTGAAATTAATGGGACAAGAAAACCCCTGGTCTCATATCATTCACAGTAACCACCACAAGATAAAGTGCTCAAAAAAAAACACTGGACTTTTTTGTACATGAATGGGTATAGATTATACACATTTCTAATAAAAAAAATGTAAGAACAGGGTTTCTAATGCTCTCTGATGTTGATTGGCATTTGATCAGACAGGCCTTGGTTGACTTATGCTGCATTCAGACCGCAAACGCTGAAGCCCCGCTCACCAGACGCGCATTCTCTAGTTTTCAGACGCAGGGTCTTCACACCAGAAGTCCAGGCCAGCGCCGGAAGTGCCATAAGTAGCCGGCCGGCTCTAATGCTAACAGAGCTATGCTAGCGGCTTCTTGTGTACAGATCTTCTCCAATATGCAGCTTTGCAGCGTGTCTTTGTTCAGAGACCTTCCATGGGCTTTATATAACAGTAGTATGTGTTCACGGAGGTGCGCCATACGTTTTTTGTGTTATTAAACGGTATTTCCGCATCGGCGAACACGCTCGAAGCAGTTGCATAAAGTCACGGGAGCATGACAACGCATATTTTCTCAAGCACACAGTCCCCCATTGTCAACCCTGGTTTAGTCCTGGTTTAGTCCTGGTGTAGCTCCTGTTTTGGCTGTTAACGGTAATTTCAGTCTGCTCGCTCAGACCGCTAATGTCCCTGTGACCACTTTGCAGCTCTCTGATTGGTCGCTGCACGAACGTCCCGAGCAGGCCCGGACTGGCCATCGGGAGCATCGGGAGATTTCCCGGTGGCCTGCGTGTCAAAGTGGCCTGGGCCTGCCCTATCATCACGGTCTTTTATTTTTTTTTTTTCTTTTAATTTAATTTCATCCTCACGGTCTTTGCAAACTCCTACCCTGCCTGGTGGCCTGGTCCAATGAGCAAGGCCCAGGCCAAAGGCAGTGTTGTGCGTGAACGAGTTCAAAAGAACGCGTTCATTGAACACGCTCATTTTTTCGTGAAACGTTGAACACATTTTTTAATAAAGAACTTGAACGTGAATTAGTTCATATTATGTGTCATGAACGGCAGACAATTTGTTTTCCATTTAAAACTGAGTGAAATCTGTTTTCTCTTTTGAAACGCAACGAGAGAAAGTTCCTCCCTCCTGTATTCTCCGCACTGTTTCCGCCGAAAACTAAAAATTCCTACGGTTTCCATCGTCTATGAACGCACCCCGACTCAGTGTACTTGCGGTGCGGCGCTATATGCTAGTGCTATTCATTGGTTGTTGGACTCACATGTGCCCAGTGGCGGAGCCAGAGGGGTAGCCAGGGTGGCCACTGCCACCTCTAAAAATATCCTTGCCACCCCCAGTGCCCCCCTCGGAAGACGGCAATGTAATAATGTTAATCTTGAGAATCTTCCGCACTTTTTCCGGCAAAAGCTAAAAATTCCCACGGTTTCCCCCGACTGTGAACGCACCTTGACTCCGTGGAGCCGGTGCTGTATGCTAATGCTTTGGGTTGTTGGACTCACATGTGCCCAAGTCGTGATGAAAACAAAGAGGTAAGTTAGCGATGCAGAGCCAACCGTTTACATTTGACACAAAGTATAGACACACATACTGCAGCGCATTACTTGTTCAGTTTGTAGAACTTTTAGTGTGTGTATGTGTGTGAGCGTGCCTGTGTGCGTGCCTGTATGCGCGCCTGTATGCGCGCCTGTGTGCGTGTGTCAGCGTGCCAGTGTGTCTGCGTGTGTGTGCGTGCCTGTGTGTGCCAGTGTGGGTCTGCGTGCCTGTGTGTGTGTGCGTGCCTGTGTGCGTGTGTGCGTGCCTGTGTGTGTGTGCGTGCGGGGTGCATGCGTGTTTATTTTCCATTATTAATTGCCCATCGTATCATCGCCCTCTTCCCTTTAGTCTAAACATTAAAAGAAAAGGAGGAAACATTGCCTACAGGCCTTTTTTTGTTAGGAAAAGGCTTGTAGATCAGCCTGAAGGTCAGACTCTGAGGCAGTATGTTTTAAGATGATGAGGAATTTGTTGTGTTGTATTAAAATATAGCTTATATAATTGAGTTTCAGAGAATGAGAGGGTGTCGCAGACAGGTGCAGGATCGTCTGTTGGCAGAAGGCGTTTTTTCACACACAAAAAAAGAAACAAAATAGCTAAGATTATGGATGATGTGCAGTTGCTTAACCCCAAAACGGGGAACGTTTGGAAAGTGTTTCATGAGCTTTTTTTTGAGGCTTGCAAAGATCTTTTTAATACCTGTCAGTACTGCGTCTTGTGAAATAAGTTTCTCTGTCCTAAAACTTATTAAAAACCATCTAAGAACTATGGCAGATGATTGAGTCATCTTGGTATCCTCAGTGTAGGGTAAAGGA